CACAGCTGCGATCTCGCCATTGAACCGCAGCCTTGCCTTGAAGGTGTTGCAGGCGTTTTTGCGCCCAGAGACTTTTGCTCGAAGTTTGGCGGCTTCATTCAGTCACAACTGATGGACACTTGTGCTCGCAAGCCTTGAAATTTTATTTTGAAGACATCGTGTGCTTGAGAGTGCGCCCGGATGCTGTTTTTTGATCCGAGTTGACACTGAGCCGCAAGCGCAACGGCCGTCCAAGCCATGCAGTCTGGCGCTCCTTGACGCAAGAGACGCCGTGGCAAAGCAATGACTGGGATAGCTGCTGCAAATCTACTCGACCCATCTGTCCGACAACCTGTCCTGACCTTGCAAAGTGAGCTCAGCCAAGCGTTCTATGAACGAGCCATGCGTCAACTTCACAGATTGCAAGCGCAAAGTCACAGCGAATCCTACAAAAATCGCCGCTTCTGTCAGCTTGCCTGCTTTGATCCTGTCTCACGTTTGTTTTTCCCGTTTGCCGATGGCACTGCCATGTGCGTTCCGTGTGACCAACAGCACAGTAGCCAATGTTTTGTCTAGACTAGACACATGGCTCTTGCTTCGGTTTTCGTTTCGCGTGCCTTTGCAAGGTTTCCCTGCGCGTCGTCAGGGTGGGGTGCGACGCCTACACACGCACATCTTTTTTCTTCTCTGTTCAGCGTCCGCCTTGCCGTAGCAGAGAAACTCCGTATTATCTATGGTGGGAAGCCAAGAGACGCTGACCAATCTCTTGGTAGAGTCTTGCCAAGTCGTAGAGATCTTGAGCAGAGGTCTTGCGTGGAAACTCCGATGTGGACAGAAATCTTCTCCAACGTTTCTATATAAATGACACCGCCAAGAAAACCGACGGCGACATGGAGCAGCAGGCCGTGGAGACAGCAGAGAAGAGTCTGAAACGGGGGGGCAAAAACGAGAAGAACAGATAAAAGAAGAAAGAGGTAGCGGAAAAGGGCAACGGAGCATAAAAAACGAAGCAAGGAAGCGGGTTGAGCACAATGAGGAGCAGGACAGGTGGAGGAGTACAAAAAGAGGGGGGAGAGAAGGGAGAGAAGGAGGAGGAGAAGACGGAGGAAGGAGGAGGAGCAGGAGATAGAGGAACAGGAGCGCGAGAAAAGGAGGAGCAGGAGGAAGAGGAGAGAGGAGGAGTCCACTAGTTTTCCCTTCTTGTTTGTCGCAGCAAACCCCTCTACCGACGCAAAAAAACCCTTCTTACCGTTGCAGTGAGCCACCACTGTCTACCGTCGCAAAAAACCCCTGTGGCCCAAACAATAAACCCATCTGAGCCGTTGTAAAAAAAAAACCCTTGAATTATTGAGTTGCCCGTCTCAAAATAAACCTTTAGCATTTTCGCTGTAGCAAAAATCCTTGGTTACCTAGGCCTGACTGGCATTGGGGTGGTTGAAAAGGGGTCAATGTATGTAATATATGCAAGTCCCATGGATGGTCTGTGACACTGTGGTACGACATGGTATGATCGACCTATTTACCTACATTTGGGCAGTCAGATGTTCAAAGGGATCAATCGGGCGGCGTATTTATGCCATGCATCCCATGGAGGCCGAACTTGGTAATGTAGAAGGACCCCGGGCCGAGGTTAACATCACCAGGTTTGGGGGTTTGATGAATCAACACACCTGCCCTATGGATCCACATAACTTATGAGGGACATGCGCAGATAGTCTGGGGATCCCATAAAACAGGCACCTGAAACCTGCCAGGTAACCACCCGCCACATTTAGGTTTCCAATACACCACTTCGGAGACCTGCAGAGTCGGGTGCTGGTAGTTGGACTAGCTGGGAGAAAGCGTCGATCTGAAGATGAAGAGGTGCAAGGTCGTCCTGCCATGCGGCAGCATGGAAGAACTGGAACGAAAACGCATCATGCAACCTGGGTTTAGTCTGGATCTATAGGGTATATCCCGCAGTAACAGGTCGGTGGAAGATCACGATATATTGGGAAAAGTGTTTTCTATACATGTAACATCATGTAAATGTAACCATCATCATCCACTGGGCCCTGGTAAGTATGGGAAACCATACCCTAAGGTGGATCAATGTTTATCTCCGGTCCAGGCTCTAAGGCAGGAGAGTTTTCTGGTCACACACTGAGCACGGTACGAACCAAGCTCACTCTCAGTAGCTGACCCGGTTCGCAACAAACCCCCCCCCACAATCATGGGTTCGACCCTGAAACCACGTGCGGTTCACCTGGAAAACCCTTCGATGCAGTCCGGCTCCAACACGGCTTCGGTGAAGTAACATCGGCTGGTCGGATGAAGGTTTCAATGTGGATCACCCCACTCAACAAGGACAGGTGGACAGGTGGACAGGTGCTCGACTCGGGCCCTTGACCCACTTGGAGTCGACCGAAGACTTCGTACCAAGATGTTCGTACATCGGGTACTGAAGTACCTGGGAAATCAAACAACCAGAAACAAGTCTGGATGTTTCCCAGTCCCAGCCATTTCATATTCTCAGGTTCGGTACGACTGGACCCGACGTTTTGGCACCTACATAACAGTGTCGAACACATCACCTAACCTGAGAAGGTGCAACTGGATCCCTAGGGTTTGAATAGGGTCATGAGTCATGTCCCATGTTCTAAGGTAACGGTCCATCCCGGGTCGTGGCACACGGTCCATCGATGCGACGTCTGGGGGCAGTCGACGCTGAGGTCGGCACCTGTGGACTCGAAGACGGAGGAACTAGGAGAAGCCCCGAATCCCTCCTCCACCTAGTAGCTTCTTGTTACTATTAGTAATGGCCTCCATTCCAATAGCGATGGCCTCCAACCTACTACTTTTTTGCTACTATGTCTCAAAACTAGAAACTCAAAGTTCATTGGAGCCTCAGTTCGCTAGGGTTTTTGACCCTCACAACTGGGGTGAAATGGACCGAACCAACATTTAGCAGTTGCTTGGCCGGTTTCGGGTCGGCAGAAGCTGATGGACTCGAATCAACTGCATCCAACTGCATCCAGAATGAGCGTTTGTCCAAGCCTCCGGTCCACCAGCCAAGCCCCTGAGGGTCCTGACTCTCAAGCCGCCGGTTTTGGGTTCCCTACGCGCCGATGACGCAGGTGTTGTTTGGAGGTCGACGCAGTAAAATACGAAGTCATTAATCAGTATTGGGGGGGGGAGTTCCTATAGGTTCCTGGACCCGCTTGGGCTCTGATTTCGTCCGCAGTGTCGCCAGGCGTGACCACCATGGAGGTCAGCTGTGAGCCGGTGGAGGGCCAGGCTCCACGAGTTTTGTTCCGTTTTTCATCGATCGGAGCGAAGCGATGTGGCGAAGGCTCCGCAGATGCTTCACCGAAGCAAGGAGAATTGTTGAGAGACTTGTTTGGCCAAAAGTCGGTGCTAAGGAGATCCAAAATGGCAACATTGCTTTTGGGTTATTTATTTTTGGTGGTTGTCAATATGATGTATGTATCATAACTTAATATGCGGAACTCATGGAAAACAGGGGATCATCATCTAATATTGCTTTCTCCTCTCATGAGGGTGGGGTCTCTTTGGTGCTTTTGACAATCTTTCACCTGACCTGATAATCCAGTTGGGAGGCTAGTGGAAACCACACACACACACACACTGCACCTGTGGGTTGTTTCTGGGTGTTTCTGGACCGAAGAACCGATTTGGCGAACTTGGAGGAAGATAGAAGGTGAATGAATGGGCCTCGTACAGCCAGGGTCGATGTGAGATGACCTACTAAGCAAGTGTTCGCTACTAGTAGCTCCTGGTATTACCACTAGGAACAAGAAGCCACTAGCTTTTTATGTTTTTTTGGGCTCCCATGAACTCCGAGTTTTGGGTTTGGGCGAGGGGTACCAGCCACGAAATTCCGTCGTGCAGCGAGTTGGGGGGGATTATACTCAAAACCGCTCACTCAAATGGTAAAGGTTCCGCTCGTGCCCTCAAGGCCCGGCTCCAAGTGCCCGCACCGCCACGCCAGACATGCTTATACTGCGAGTGCTTGAAAAACCGACCGTCAGGCGATCCGAGGGCAAGCCATTCTTCACATGCTCTGCGTGACATAGACCGAGGACCGCGACACTGCGACGCTGCATCCGTCAGGTTGGACAGGTCTTGTTCGATGCATCCGTCACGCCTTTACCTGCCGGGGTCCACAGTGGGCGGTCCGTCTGCCGTCTCTCGATCTGTCAGAGATTCCGAGATGAGTCGAGTCAAACGAGACGAGATTTGTTGATGAGATTCAATCGGGCGGCTCTTTGACGGTCTTTTTGGAATTTGTTGCGTATCGCTTTTGCTGTAATTACTAGTGCTTGATTACTGAACCAACAGACATGTTGGTGGAGACCCTCCGTCGTTTTTCAAGGCGCGCTTCCCCTAGAGGCCATTGACGTGTTGATGTAGTAAAATGAATCGAAACAAATTCTGGAAACGCTCCCGCCTGTTAGGGAAGAAACTGTTCCGCCTCTGAGGGAATGAACGAGCAGGGAATGAACCCATCCATCGGCCATGAAACAATTCCTATCAGGTCGACCCTGTCATACCCAAGAAATACGTGAATCACTTGCAAAACATTGCAAAATTGTTTGAAAACATTTGGGGACACCCCACCACTGGAAAGCTTGCTGAATCATGATTTTCGGGATCTCGGGCTTGGAATCGCTAAATGTTGGCATCATCTTAAGTTCAACAACAGTCCACATCAACATATGTTCCCTGTCCATCCATGGGGCTGGCATATCGCTGGGGTGGTACGGTGACGAGCATCGAACAGATGGATCGATCGAGCCGTTCCGAGCTACGAACGCCCCCACAACTTGCACTCCATGTCTGAGTCGCGCCTTTCCGAGACCTTCCCCAGAGTCGAGGGGGGGTTCTTGAGCCCTTGGATTTACAATCCGGAAAACATCGCTCGTTCGTCTTCTTGGAGTTCCAGAAAACACCGGTGACACTTCGGTGACACCGGTTCTCCGATCCGCGATCCGCGGCGATCCCACCGGGTCCGCGTCCCCATGGGTGCGATCGGATCGGTGGGAGAGCGGAACGAGCAGAAGTTGGTGGATTTACAGATCGTGGGCCTGGATTCCATGGCTTAAGAAAAGCTTGGCAGGCTTTGCTTGGCTAGGTGTCCTTGTTTGTTTCCATTTGTTCCGTTGTTTGGTCTGTCCCCTGGAAAGGAGTGATTGGTGATGTTCATTGATTCATTGATATATCTGCATCGTGTTCATGTTCAACGCATTAAGGCATGGCTGTGGTTGTGAATTGTGTTATGCCACCATCAGGGAATCTACTTTGTTCAATCAGGGCTCCTACAAGGGTACCATAGGGTACCCATCAGCCTGCCTGCGTATACATTACTCTATAGACCTTATATAGGACCACCAGTGGATACCCATTGCCCCAGTGCTAAGGACCTAACAGTTGATGTTTGTCAGATTCTTCCCAACAAGAGATACACATGCCACAACATGCCACAGACCACCTGAAACAAGCAGTGGCAGGGACCCAACTTGGATGGAAAGGACTGGACATTTGGGTGATTGTGATGCCTTTGATGAGATGCAGTCTGAGGATGGAGAAGGATTCGAAGTGAAAGTACCTGAGTCTTTGAAAGGCATTGAACTCCGAGACAAGGTCCGAGACCATCTTCCTATCAAAGCAGGTGCTCGAGTCCTTTTCTGGCACGCAGAGTCAGGCTCCAGTTCGAGCAAGATGCTATCACCTAGCAAGACTTTGAAGGAACAAGGGCTTACTGGAGAGAATGCACGCTTCTCGCTTGCAGAGTTTTTATTCCTTTTTTTCGACCCCTCAAAACGCGGACAACTGATGGAATTTCCTTTGTTTTGCAGGTGCGGATGATGACGGAAGAAGCAAAGACTCGCCCCATTCCAATGGTTTTGGCTGAAATAGTATGACTGTCTCTGTTGAATGAATAAATAAGTCCGACACCATCTGAACCAAGACCCTTTTGCATCCTTTTGCGGGTTTGAGGTTCTTTCCATCAACCAATCATCAACAGAAACATACAGCTTCATCAAGTGACCTTGTTGGAGTCCCCTGGTCGTGACCTGTAAAACAGGCCCTTCAAAGTGACCAGATAATAGCGGGATATCAGATAATATAATATAGTATCAGAGATCAATTTTGGTCACTTTGAACCGCCATGAATTTTGTGATGGAGAACTGTCATGTCGACTCACAGGTTTGTCCTTTATCTACGACACCATCAAGCTCTACGACGCTTGGGTGTTTCTGGACGCCCTACGCAGCTCGTATGTGGCCAATCGCGCGACGTTGGAGGAGGTCCGCACGTGCTTGGAAGCTACAGATGGTTGAGCATATCTTTTTCAGTTCACCCGGAATTCTTCGGCTGGTCCGACTAGACCCCCAGGTCCGACTAGACTCCGACCTGTCGGTCGCGATGGCCATGCTCTTCCCCAGCTCGCCTAAGGGTCGATAGCGATGGCCTCCCTCATACGTTTCCGAAAGGGTGGAAACCAAGGAAGGCATCACAAAGATCTGTGGCCTTCGAACTGTGAATCAGCTTCGACATTTGCCCGAGAGTGGCTTGGACTCCGCAGAATCTGCGCAATCCAAGACGTTCGCGTGTGGTGTGGTGGCAAGTGATAGCAGGTGGTGGCCGTTGTTTGTGTACAGTTCTGGAGCTGCTTTGGAAGAGCAAGATATCTTACCAAGAATCGGAGCCCTGTAAAAGACAACTTTCCTTTTTACAAGCACTACCTTGGATGGAATGTGATGCTTCGCGCGTCGCGTTTGGGACGAGCGGAAGAGGCGAACCTTCAACTCTGAGGAAAGAACTCTCCCTTGCCTCCATCTACCAATGAAACGATAGGAAGGAGGCTGTACGGTATAGGGGACAACCCACTCAACGGGTGGAATGTTTGACCCTGACGACCCTATCTCTGCAGACTCGTGGCTTCTCCCTGCCCTGCCGATGGACTGATGGATGGTGGGAAGGACCCGCATCGAAGTCATGAAGCAGCGATGGTGTTGTCCAGCACTTGACCTGCCAGGGTCTTCTACCTGGAGTTTTGTGTTGCAGGAGAACTCATTACGCGTATAATTAGTCTTGGCTAGTTCAGCCAGGAGACCCCAATTTCGGAAGGTGCTGGAATCATGATGGTCTCTTTGTCTTTCTGTGTTTAATCCGCAAGAATACTCTAAGAAGATTTGTTGGTCCGCCAGAAGCACTTTTTTCTTTTTGTGGACCAAGCACTTCAGGTCTTCACAGTCTGACGTTGTGCAGTGAGATCAACTTGGCACAAATCACCTGGCCCAACAGCCTTCGACATTTGACCTTTGGTGAACGCTTTGATATGAAGCTGGATGGAATCTCACCCGCAAGACGCGACAGCACGCGACAGCTTTGATTTCGTATTGGCAATTGGATCTATACTGCATATTTTACTGTTATTCTACTAGTTATAGCATTTGTAATATTTGTAGCAATATGCAGCAATTGCTACTTGTTATTTTTTAGAATATTGTCATAGCAATTGCTTGTTTCTTTTTGTTCGTGAGTGGTTGCTGTTGTTGTTTTCATTTGTTGCCCCCCAATAGCCCGGCACATTCCTAGGATCCTTGAAAGACCACCTTACTTTAGAAACACTATAATAAGGCGTTTGCAGCTGTGATTTTGAGCTTTAAGAGTGTACGTGAGAGGATCACAAGCAGTTTGTCACAAGATGAACCTATTTCAGGATCCTCTTTGGAAGCCGTAAGATTCTAGAACTCTCTCTAACGTAATTATAGACTTTTGATTAATAACCACCCCATTTGGTTTGAATAACCTCTTCTACCCCACTCGCCTTCCCATCCGCGAACGAATCCCCTTGTGGGATGGGTAAGACGCCACCGTGGACAGCGCAGGTCACACCGGCAGCAAAAGAGTCTAGTGAAACGGTCCAGGTAGTGAGAAAGAAGACCTCAAAGAGGGAACTCCCAGGTGGAGGTGTTTAGAACACCCGCCAGCTAGGAGTTCAGCACACTGAAGAAGCTCGTCAACCTCAAAGCAGGGAATGGTCCCAACAATTGCACCCTGTGGCAAAGCTCTGCCCTCCGCTTTCAAGCGCCAATTATCTGTGGAGCCTGGAAAAACGCCATGTCCATGTATCTTGTTTATAAAGACTAAAGTTCTGCGAAGCCAGAAAGTGAGGTCGCGGAAAGTTGAATCACACGAACTGCAAGATTCCAACACGAAGCCTCGCTTCCAGAAAATGAAAGCAAATTCGACAAGAGATGTACACGCATCGGGATGGACCCGCCGAAAAGGACTCTGAGATCGTTCGGGTTCAATTTGGCTACGGCCAGAAACATAAGGCTTGGGTCACACACCCAAACCCACACACGATCCATACCTCGATCCATAGGGTATGGATCAAAAGGTGGGTGTGTGATCCAAGGGCTTGGATCACACAACTACCAGTGCCACCACAACAACAACTACTACAACAACAACAACAACAACTACTACTACTACTACTACCACTACGGCTCGCCGGTGACTGTGGCCTCATAGAGCTTGTTGAAAAAGTCCCGTCTCAGCTTGGCCGCAATGAGGGCCATGGAAGGCCGTGCGCGAGCATCCCTCCAGTGTTCCATGGATGTGGACACAACTCTGTGGATGAGGTCCTGAATGTCAGGTGGAGGCAAGTCAACCTGGGCGGTGAGGTCTGGTAACTGCTGTAGAATCTGGGCTTCAGACAGCGACCTGTCAATCAACTTCCATCCACAAAGGTGTGGAGACGGTGTCAGAAGCTCTGCTCTGTGGGGGATGTGCTGGAGGCCGATGTCGATACGCCTTGCCAGAATCGCAGCAACCTTTGAATCTGCAAGATGGTCACTCTCGCATTGGACTGGTTCATCTCGATTTCCACCGCTCCCCAATGGGCCTGGAGGAGGATGGGCACGATCGTCCTGGAGGATGGAGCAACCCAAAATTCCCCAAAAGGGTTTTCATCAAAGTCATCCTGTTGCACGTCCCAATAGACAGGAGGCGAGAAACAAGCTCCCTCAGGCTCGATCTCCTGGATGATCCGGCAGATAAAGTATAGTTCGTCCGTTGCCAGCCACCCGTGCGAGTCAATGGAGAAGGCGGCACGTTGCTCAAAGGATGCACTAGCAGGCAGGGTCATGGGAATGCCCTGGTATCCATGATGGCCGCCTGCTCGAATTTCACCTCGTGGGTGAAGCATGACAATCGCAAGGTCTTCAAGGGTGCACTGGTGCGTGGACACATCAGTTCCATTGATCTTGGCAACAGACATGGTGGCGTCTTGAATCTGGAACAATGTACTTCCACCAATATCCGCAAAAAACGAGTGCAGTGGTTCCCTCCGAGTTCCCTCCAGAAGAAGCAAAACCGAGTGCATATGGTCGCTCCGCTCGTTGGAGTGGATCACAACAATAGGGTCAAGTCCGGTGGTTGCAGTGTTTTCCACCCGAAGGACAATGCACTCACACGCAGTCATGGTGGCCTGGAGGAGGTCGATGAAGGCACCAACCATTGCGTCGGGAATGCTCACCTGCATAAAAGTCGGGAGCTCAATGCAGAAGAAGGTCACTGAGGAATAGGTCAAAGACGATGGGATCAGCACTTTCTCAGTTGCTCCAATGCAAGCTCGGAACTCAATGGTCTGCAAGAAACACTCGAAGGGCATCTCTTGGACCACCAGGACAGCAGGCGGGGAGTGCTCCTCAAAGGAAGCCACCTCAAAGGGAATGGTCGGAGATACGATGACCTCAGTGGCGTCGAACATTCCTGTCATGGCCGAAGAGGGCTGCGGAGTCACAAACCTACGAAGGGCATGGTCACATCTGGAAAAGTAAACCCAGTCACCCTCAGAAAACACAATGGCATTGGATGATGTCAACCGATCATTCCAGGAATCTTGAATCAACTGAGGGAGGTTCAACCGCTGTTTGAATGCCGCTTGAAAGCCGAGACGGAGAGGTAAGAGGCCATGCTGGACCGTGATGGCATTTCCAACACACTTGAAGGCTTCCTGGTTTTTGTTGGGGAGGACAATCATTTCGCAGGCTCCAAAAAGGCAGCAAAACCTACATGGATCAAAAAATGACACTCCCCTTGCATGATCCTCAAGGACAGCGAAGATACCTTTTGATCGAATGTGGCCTCTGTCACAAGCAAGTGCTGAGACGAGTACGAGGCACAAAGGGTTGGCAATGGTTCGCCGCTCTTAGGAAAACGAGACTCCAAAATCTGCTGTGGCGATGAAGAGGCTTGCAGAGTTCGCCTTTTGGCTCCGGGCAAAAAAGACCACATTGCTGTAGATGTCCAGCTCGGAATCCGAGAGCTTCAATTGCCTTTCCCAGCATGTGGGCAGATCAAAGGAATACAAAGTGCTCGCCCAGGGGATTCGAGGAATAGTCTGGAGACTGATCCTGGCATCAAAAACCCATGGGTGGTGGTCTGACCTCACCCAGGTTGCAAACCATCTGGAGCGAAAGTGGTTGGAAACCAAGTGGTGGTTAACAACCTGATTGAACACTCTGGTATAACCCATGCGTTGAAGGAGTTCAATCACAAACATGTGGTGTGGGTGATGAGTGAACTCATCAACGCATTCGGCAGTGATGATGCTCGGTTGCAAGATCATGCACACTTCCAGCAATTCTATGAAGGCCCAGCCACTCGGATGGCACAGGCCTTGGACCTTCCCAGCTCTCGACCATGTCGGGCATGGTGGGGATAAGAATGTGACCACAACATTCGTGGTATTTGCACACAAATGTAAAGACGTGAGGTCACCCACAAAGGCATGGATGCCAATATGGCCTGAGGGATTCCAGGTGGTCTGTGGGGCGATAGGTGCACGATATGGGTGAAGCATGTACTTGGCAGACCACAAATCAATCACTGTATAAGTCGACCGAAATTTGTTGGCCCACCATTTGGCCCCCACTGGATGATGCACACCAAGATGCCGCCTGTGACCAGCCGGAAAAAGAACCGGCAAATAAGTGTAAATAATTGCACGCGAGTTCCGGCTCCAAAGAAGGCCTTGGGCATAAAATGCAGTCCTTTCGAAAGTGCCACTCACTGCCAGACAAAGGTGTCGTAAGCATGCCGCAAACAACCACTTGTGAATCCGACACCACCTGGAATGCTCGAAGCGAAACCTCGGGGATGTGCACACGAACCTGGTGGTGGAAATCAGGACCAGTACAGAAGCCCTTGCCAGGCTTGAACTGCAGCAATCACACACCGTGACCTGGCCTGCGAAGCAAACTAAATCCCGAATCCTGAGCAGGGAAGAAGTAACGCTGAGAGTCTCAAGCAGGTTGGTCATCCTGAGATCATATGGATCTATGAGGCACGAAGGATCCATGGCAACTCAGCCCGAGTTCCCTGAGCTCAGGGCAGTTGAGCCGGAGAGCTTTTGAATAACCTCTTCATATGGGGGGGTTCATCAATCAAGAATTTCCTCTACACCCGCAGTTCCAACTCCGAAGACATTGGTGTTACAGGCGTTCTCCAAGAAGACTGCTTGGGAGGGTTTCTGGAGCACTCTGGAGTGTGAAAAGCCCACGTTGAGTCATCTGGACCTCCAGTTTGTACGCTGAATACGCTGGGACATGAACGGACATGACCCTTTCAACGCAAGAGCTTTCTCTCCCGAAGGAGTTCTTGTTCATGTCGACATGTCTTGGTCAGGAATGTGCTGGCCCAGCGGCCTTTTGACTCTGAACTTGGGTGACCAGTTCTCTCAGCCTTTGGAAGGGGTTCATTGGCCAAGCAGTCTGCAGTGCCTCAGAAAAACAAAGTGCTGGAAAGTTCAGAATGTTATTTTTGCTTTACGGATGCCTGGTTTGGGTTTCTTCCAAGGAGTTCTCAACATTTGGTGTATAGATTTATAGATGTTAACTGTTAACATTGCAAATTGGTTATAGCATGTTTCCTTCTGGTGCCACGAGGAGTCTAACCTTGGGCTGCAGCTTCAATCGGAGTTTGGAAGGAATGAAATGGCCGAGCCAGTTGCAGAAACCTGGGAACATTGAGCAGTTTTTGTCTCAGACTGTTCCCGAACCCCTTTTTAACCCTGGGAAGTCCATAAGGGGCGTTTTTTTTCGTTTTGGCCAAATGTTCCGCTCGAAAACCCGATGTTTCAGCGCATGCATGTCCTGGACGGTTGTGGGGCTTACGGACACTCTTTTCCAGCTTTAAGTATTTTGCGATCCTTGATACGGGCCAAAGCCAAGGAGTTTGAGGCTTGGCGAGAGGTTCAACCAAAGTTTGGAGCGAGTGATTTGGCCAGAAAGCCTGCAGCATTTGACGTTTGGCTCCGACTTCAATCAGAGTTTGGAGTGTATCTGAGCGGCTTACACTATACCCTACATCCAACGAACATGCAAGTGGAAAATTGCTATGCAGCTATGCATGCATTTTCTACCTGCATGATTGTTGGAACGAGTGTAAATTTTGTCAGTTGTGTTTTTGCCAACTTCTGGGCGGGGCAAACAAAGTGGGCGAATCCTGGACAGGGGGGGTGAACAATGTCATATAGAGCTAGTTATAGAGCTGTATGGAGTAGCTAGCTAACGTTTTCAAGTGGATCCAGGCCAAACACATTAGGTAACCTTGGGTTCCAGTTCGGCGAACATAGACCGACCGAGGGTCCTGGGTCTATCCGGTTTTGCTTGAACTCGACGTCTTCAGACGTTGGGGACCTTTTCTCATCAGTTGGCCTTGTTAGAGAAAATCTCATGCATGCGTACGTCGGTTGGAGGCCATCGTTACAACTGGTTGGAGGGCCATGCTCCGGTGGCGAAACCGGACCGGTCTTGTGGGGCCCGGTCAGGATGGAGCGGTCCACAACCGAAGAACCTGGTCCATGTGAGGCATCAACTGGCCCAGCTGCCTTGCGAGCTTGAGCTTGGGTGACCACTTTAATCAGACTTTGGAACTGATGGCCTGGCCCGTCCCATGGCAGCGGAGTGATAGATGTGTTTCTGGTGGTCCTTTTTTGTGGTTTTGGGAAGCAACAACCATGACCGCCGGATTTGTGTTATGGTTTCCTGCTGCTTGGTGCTTTCCCGTTGTTTTTTAAATAGTGTTCAAGCGTAATTATTACCATATTTGGGAATCACTACCCCATTTGACTAGGGTTTTTGGGGAAGGGTTTGAACCACCATCCAGTCTTTGTCACTGTGGTGACTCTTGGCCTCCTTACTTAATAGTGCCCTAGGTGACCCCGTGCTGTTTTATCACCCCATGTGGCACAGTGCTTGTCACAGCCCATGTGTTTGCGTACTCGAATTCGAATACGGACCATGCCGAATCCCGAATCCCGGCGGACGGGAGGATTGATGTAGGACATCCCAAACACTCCCAAAACGCGAAAAGAACGATCAACACTTCATGGCTGAGTGCCTTCTGCTGTGCTGAGTGCCTTCACTCCATGTATTGCAAGTGTTTTCTGAGTACATTCTCCCTTGACACCACCCCAATGTAGGCATGCAGATGTGCCAACAAAAACATGAGTGTGTTTGGGAGTGAATCCTCGTCATGTACCAGTACCAAAGTCTCGCACTTCCGTGAAACAGCGGCCATTCTCCCAGATCCTTTGACTCTTCCTTTAGAGGTTCCGTTCCTGACCAGGGAGGGCGAGGTCAATTCCTGACGGAAGGCGAGGGGGGGCTCGTTTCAGCCCCGGAACCGGCCTACAATACACCACCCTCAGACACCACCCTTCCCAGGTTTTGGGACCCGTCAAAACGTCTGTCCTTCCAGAAGAACCACCCAACTCCCGGTCACGGTCTCTGGTTCTTTTTCCGGAGAATCATCCAACTGCCCGGAGCTGTTGTCTCCGGGCTGGCAACTGTGACTGTCCTCGTTGAAGCAGTTGACGTTGCAATGAACGCCTGTGGAGCTGGTGCGTGGAGCATCTGGACTTCACGGACCATACTGAGTACCAAAGTACCACTGACAGCATCTCACCAAGGAGCTAGCTACTTCTTGTACTTTTTATCTCACTGAGGTGGATCGTAACCTGACATTCACCAAGACTGCCGCCTCTGCGGCGCTTAAGGTGAATCTGCGAAGCCTCATCTTCGGCCTCCAGTTCAACCAAAGCATCGAGCAGCTTTCACGCAAATGGAGCAGCCTCCAGACCCTGAGCTTCGGCGAGCACTTCGACCAAAGCAGAGTGACTTGGTGTGTCACTCCCAAAGCAGAGCTCCAAATAGCTTCGAAAGAAGATACTTGGATCCTCGAAGACAAACATGGACCCTGAAAATACACTGGTTGGTGAGGAAAACGATCTTCCAGGGAGCCATTGTCAGGGTCCATGTGAGTTTTTGGGAGAGTAGTCCCAGTCCCACCTTCTCAGGAGGTCAGAATGAAGCCCTAGACACTGGTCGGAATGCTTTTCGCAAGCCCTCGGTGTTCGTCTTGAAGTGGGACGGATGATGGTGGAGCAACAGATTCAAGATGACTCAAGAGCTGATAGCCCAATAAGCTGTAGTTACTTGGGATAATGAACCAGTCATGACCCTTCGTGTGGGTCCTCATTTCTGAAACCACCTATCATTTGGATCTTCTTAGGCTCGGAGTTAGGCAAAGCTTACACCGAGAACCTTGGAAACATCCTGGTTGCTGGACATCAAATTCAAGATCATCCCTGGTCATCCTATGTCCTGACATGCTTTGGACATTCAGATTTGGTTCTTGTTTGACTCGCATGCGCCACACGATCAAAACAGGTCACCTGGCCCTCTGGCTTGCGTCATTTAAGCCTTGGCTTCAATCAGAGCGTAGATCCCAAATCACTGCCCAAGATGCCTGGCGTTGCGATTTCAGCAGCTTTCTTGCTGATCCCTTTGGACATGCTTTCAAATCTTGGGATTTCGTTGTTGCTGTTCGGAATTTTTGAACTAAGCTAGAGAAACTGGAAACTGATGGGAAAGAATTATTACCCTATTGAGATTGACTCATTGGGAAGTCCTCCCAAAGGGAAGATGTTCTTTGACCAGGACCCTCCAAGCCGGGTTCCCCCAGGAACTTGGAAGCCTTGAGTATTTGCAAGGCCTGCCGTCCAATCTTGGAACGAATGGCCTTTGAGGGCCGATTGCAGAGTCTCAAGTTCCTTGAAAGCAAAACTCAGATATAGCGTTGACCCTTCCGACGCGAATGGTCACATGAGGCCTGGCTTCCCAGTGTCGACACTGGGACTATCTGATAAGCAGAGTGCCATGACTGTTGCTGGCGGGGGTTGGGGCCAGCTGTCAGTTTTGGAGGGCAGGGAATCTCAGCACAAAGTTGTTGAGTGGGGTAATTACATGTCACTCTGAAGCCTCTTCCCTTGCTGAGGTTTGGTGAGCACTTCAACCAGAGTTTGGAAGGAGCCTGGAGGTGTTGAGTGATTTTGATGTGATTTCCTGAGAGTGTCCGTGAGAGTTGGAGACAAAAAACTGCTGAATGGATCGGATAGATTATTTTCCTTCAGAAAGGATCCGAACATAGCAGTCTACATGGACTTCAAGGCATTCTAGGGTGGTTTGCATCTATGTGTATACAAGGGCATCCGTGCAGAGTAAATATCAAATACAAGAAGAAGTAGGGACTTGTAGCCATGTTGCTAATCCAACGTAATCCAAGACGACCGGCTCTGAACCGCGTTTGTTTCTTTCACGTTTCCTATCCAGACGACCTCAAACACTGCAGGCACCTCACTGGGGCTTCGTAGAGAGACTAAGACTAAGGGTCGCGTAGACATCCGTACACGGACGTCATAGACCCTCAACATGGGGAGCTGCACGGATATAGGAAGAACCGAATCCGTGACGGATCAGATCACCGGAGCGGATCCATTCCGCCCTGGAGTCCTGGCGAGCAGGAATGACATTGCCGGGCACCTTACTGAGTCTCACTTTCGGCACTGACTTCAATCAGCCTTTGGAGCGAGTGACATGGCCCCGCCGTCTTCTGGGATGTTCAAAAGCTTTTGATGTTGTTTTCAACTTTTGCGGCTTAGTAGTGAAGAAACTATATCAACGTGAGGGGGGTAGTTGAACTATAGGACGATTCAGAGACTCGTTGAATGTTTTTTTGTTGGGTAAGTCTTTTGCAAGGGACGAACGTTCCGCTAGTCAACTTGCGAGACCCAGGTAACTTGTGTTGTTGAACGAACTTCATGTCTAAGTCCCTCCCCATTTGGATTGTCGTTGGATTGTAGAACCTTTTCGTCGACCTGTTTCGTTCGCTACATGGTGGAGTCGGGCTCCAGGTGCCATGACCCATCCCTGATCAACTAAGAGGCCCAGAAGCGATCCAATGAATCGATCATCATCGATCCTTTTTCTGTCCAAAAAAGGAACATCAAATCTTGGAACTCGTGGATCCAAAATCGCCCAGCGTAGGTCTGCAGAGCTTGACCTTTGGGGACCACTTTAACCAACGCCTAGACCGAGTGGTGTGGCCAGAGAGTCTCGAGATTCTCACCTTTGGCAAGTATTTCAGCCGAAGTTATCAGAGTCTGAAGAGAATCGCATTACCCAGAAGCTTGCTTCAGAGGTAAACCTTTTGAACTCTTTTGATGGCACCGTTGTATGTGTGTGATTTACCAATCGGATCCCATCAATATATATGTTGCATCCGTATACACAACTAACCATCACCATCCGCTGTGAGTAGTTTGATTTACCCAAGCTCAATATGTGAACTGCTGTTTCCTGCGGACGATCTTGTGTGTGGCTTACCTATTATTCGTCGATGTAAGGAATCCATTTCATGTTCCAAAAGTACCAGTTTAACATGCTTTGTTTCAATCATGTTTCTGTGTAGTTTTAAAAGTCCGACTACCATGGTGGCAAAGAGGAACATCCAATTCCTTCTTTGTTGCTGGCTTGCAGTTCGATCGCTCGTTGATACGCGCACCCAAACACTCGCTCCAACGACAACCAGGACGGCTCCAGCGCTTGACGCTCGGCAGTGCCTTCAACGAAAGCTTGGACGAAGTGATTTGGACCAGTGACTCGAGCAGAGACAGACGACCGGATGGACCGGGCGGGCGCAGTTCGCATACGAACCGCTGTGTCAGCGCGGTTCGTCGCGTCGCGAGCGAACCATCCAGCTGGTCCAGGTGGGTGGTGTTGGAGCGGTTTGGAGCTTGGTGGAACACCTACTACTCATACTATCATACGTACTATACTAAATGTATCTTGGGACCATGGGACCATCCATGGGGCTGGAGTTTTGGTTCTACATGGACCCTTCAATGCCGAAATAGGCCAACGAACCCACGCCTGGCTGCAGAAATCCCACGAATGGGTAGGAACATCGGTTTGACCCTTGATGTGTCCACCAATCTCAAACCCAGCCCGTTAGTCGAATCCAAGTGCCAAGAGCACTAGTTAGCACTGCCAAGAGCGTCGCAGTTAGCATGGATTCATGGATTCTTTCAGGTCTTCAGAATCGACTTGGACAGACGACGTCGACGTCGATTGGTCTTTTGTTGGAGCTAGCTAGGTACCTTGCAGAGTTTGACTTTCGGCGATGACTTTAACCAATGCATTCAGAAAGTGATTTGGCCGGAGGGCCTTTGCGAACTGACCTTTGGCAAGAACTTCAACCAGAGCTTGGAAGGAGTGACTTGGCCTACGATCCCTGGCTGCATGAAGCAGTTTCTTGCTGGCTTGCGTCCAAATAGTAAGGAGAAACAATCGTCGATATGTTTCTCCGGGTGCCTTTTTCACCTGGGAAGGAACCTTCAATGCTTGACCTTCGGTCTTTGCTTCAATCAGAATTTGGCGAACGTTGTTTGGCCTGATGGCTTGCAGACTTTGTCGTTTGGCAATTGCTCCACTTGCTTGAACACCTTGAAATTGCCGAGCCTCAAAAGCTTACGTCATAGAGGCCCCTTGGATTTGGTGGGTGGTTTTGAGCAACCGTTTTTTGCCTTACTGTTGATGGTCACGGGTGAGTTTGGCTGAACACTTCCAACAGGATCTGTTGATTCCAGTGTTAGACCCTGAGGCCGAGGGACACGGGACTTTCCGAAAACCCGAAGCAACGCGAGTGTTACGCGTCGTCGCCGCCGCGGTTTGTGGTCGTTTCCAGAAGAGTTGTCCGTTTGAGCCCTGGAGGGTCTCAGAATTTTCAGATATTGACCAATCTTGTTTTCAGCAGGCGGAGAAGTGACTTGAGGGCAACCATTTGAAGGCCTTTAAGAAAACAATTTGAATAAACAACCTAAACTAAGCCAACATAAGGCACCAGACAAGTGGGGATGTGTAATAACCCCCCTGCTTGCAATTTAGTAAGGGCTGGACCTAAAGTATCCGAGGTGACCAAAAGCACCACAAAACGATAATAGGAAAACAAGACGATGACGATTGATGACATTTCGCCTTTTCTGAGACGTCTTGCAGTCTTGCATTTCTCTGTGCATCCTTCCATTGGTATGACAGCATTTAAAGAAGGTCCTCTGTGTTTCTCCTTCACTTGTTCATGGCTGCGTTGTGCCCGAAGTTCTGTGCGAGCTTGCAGTGCTTTCTTGCTGTATTGTTAGCCACCTTGAGTTAAATCCAAGTTGAAATTAGTTTCAGAGACGGATGTTGGGAGTAGTGTCGAGAGGTGCCTTACTTTCTGTTGAACTGCTGTCGCATTGCGGAGCATGTGAAGAATTGGTGCCTTGAGGCCCAAGATCTGGGTAAAGCGAGAGGGTACCAGAACGATAACGAAACGATAACAAAAACGATAACGTTATGTAACAAAGTCCTCTCAGATGAACAATGTCCCATTTCTTTGTTTCAGATGTTTGATTTTCTCTTTCGCTTTCATGCCGGAAATTCTGGTGGCAACGCAAAATGTGCTGCAGCTGTTTGCAGCTTGGGAAGGGCCGGGGCAGGACTACCTTCGATTGATCCCACATGTCCCAAGCCCTTGAAAAACGATAAAATAGATTTTCCATATACTGTATACCCCAAACCCTTGAAAAACGATAATAGGAAAAAACGATAACGCGGTTTTGGTAATTGCAATTTTCCTAGGGTTTTTTATACAACCCCAAGTGTTAAAAAAAAACATGAGCTGAACCACTGACCTGAAGCAAGAGGTGTTTGGATTCTCGCTTCGGCTGATTTCGAAGCCAAGGTCTCCTGTTGAGTGCTTTTTGAGACCAACATCCGCTCTTGGTCACTTTCCAGCGTGTGCAAAAGTGACCGATAGACAGTGACGAGAGAGCATCGACGTGCGAGAGAGACAGAGAGAGAGAGAGAAAGAGAGAGAGAGATATAACTAAAAAATAGATAAAAGACTGGCACCAAATTTAATCCAGAGCTGTTTAAACACATGATGCACTCGGAGTCACTAACATGGAAGTGGAGTTCATCACCTGTAGAGGAAAGTGGCCATCCAAAGGTTGATCTTCAATTTCCATATCGGGCAGTGTAGATCCTAGGTTGATCAATCCTCGCATGGACTATATCGATAAGTAATATTGTGTGGATGTTTCATGTATGAGGATTGGACACCATCTGTGGTTCAGGCCCCCTCCTGGTTTGTTTAACATGCAAAAGGGAAGCGGGCCGACCCTGACAATAAACGGATCGTGGTCCCTCTAGCCAGAGAACTCCATGTTTTTTCCATCCTGCGAAGGGGATGTTGAATGTTTTGGACCGCGGATCTTGAGTCCCTTTTCTTGGCAGAAGGGCAGAAGGGCTTTCCTCTGGCAACTACGTAGACATCGAGCTCGACCTTGGTCAGAACGAAGATCCGACCGCGTCCGACCCCACCGGGGGTCCGACAGGAAGAGGGGTTCGGCCGTCGTTTCGGAGGCGGACAGGGTTCACACCGATCTGACTGAGTTGAGTTCGCATCCGTTCAACTCAATGGTGCTCGGTTTGTAGGGGCAGGTCCCAGAAGAGGTCCCTGCACAGGAAATAGTTTGATTTCCATATATTTCCATGATTCTTCTCCATTCGGGATCCACAAGACTTGGGAGCAGGACGTTGGAGACCATTTTTAGCCAACAAGCCCAGGTACCAGGTCTGTCCAGTCACACCTTCTGAGAAGGCAAGTGGGGATCCCGCGAGTATATATATATATAACAATGCATGAGTTATCATAAATGGGTTTTGCAACGTTTTGCTCTTGGGATTGAGTGGGTGCTCATGAATTTTAGACATGTTTTTGAGCACTTGAGACTCACTTGAGACTATGTTGTACAAAACCCAAGGACCTGCAAATCCCTGCGACCTTGGCCTCCCTCTCCAAGGCAGAGAAAGGTTCCCCGGTTGGCTGCCTGGTGACACCTCAGGAGAGTCAAATCTCCGCACGGGCGTTGGACGGAAGGAGCTGTTCCCACTTCGTTCGATGCAGTATACACCTATATATATTGAATGGTTGTTCAGGACTCGAAACAGGACATCAACGTGGTTTGAATCCTCGGCCGGACTCTGAAACCCATGATTTTTTGTAGCCTTTCAGTTGTATCTTCTGAGAAGGTTTCTTTTGGTGAGACGGAGGGTCGCCATCCAAAGCCTCTAGAACATGCTAGAACCATGAATCACCTGTCCAACCTTTTGAGGGATTGGGGTGGGAAGTTCAGTGAACCCGGAGATCTCCGGTTCGGGTGAAGGAGAAATACCATTAATGTTTCGGAGGTACAAGTGGAGCCCTATAGCCTACTTGGTGTGAGTTCGTTCATCAACTCCCAATCCCAGACATTCCATTCTACAGTAATATGGAAGCAACTTGATATACTATCTACATCCATCTACCATGGACCCCATCACAACAATCCGCCTGATCAGTCCTCCACCTGTCCCAGACAGCTGGTCTAGCAAAGCACCGGCCGCAGCTCGAGGACGAGGCGGCCGTCTTGGCCGGGCTGCCGCCCGCACCGTTGAGGTGGACTGGAGCGCGATGCGTCGACCCGGGAGGGCTGCCGAGTGGGGCTGAACAAAGCCCACATGTTTGATCACGCCCATCGCCTGCGCTCGCATCTCGCACTCAACCAGCGAAAAATGCCAATTCCGCGCGGTATCCACCGCTCTCCAAGCCATCCAGGCAGTCTTCCATCCCAACCTGGCTTGATCTCCCGAATAGATGCCCTAAGGATTGGGAGGAGATGTGTCGGAAACCCATGGGTCCCCATGGTACTGGAGCGGCACTTGGTTGCAAGTCTCTCCAAAACTGAGCTCGCGGTCGCGGCCAATCCATTTTACATATTTTTCCGCCACGATGAGGTCGACTTAATTCTTGTCGTTTGCGTTGATGACTTCAAAACCACAGGTTGAGAGGACCATTTTGCAGGTTTGGAAGGGATGAGGTCTCTCATCATTGACCTTGTGACCAATACTTTGGCATGCACATCGAGAAGGATAACATCACTCTTCCTATGTCGGCTCATCCCTTTGCACACGTCTTTGACGCGCAGCGAGCGACTCCATGCTGAGCCCAAATAGCCAATGTCCAAAAATCCATCGGGAGCACGATGCTGTCAGTAGGACGTGGAACAATGTGGAACAGACCCAACCACCATCTCCAGCCACGGAAGAGGGGGCAGATGGAAGAAAACCACCCCCTCATTTGTTGGTTAGAAAACGTAGTTTTGTTTTTTTCCCCTAAACAAATGAGTGGAACTTCAACAGTTCTGTCCAGACGACTGTATTAAACGCTGCTACTGTTATGAGCAAAGTTACCTCCTACAAACAAACTACGCGTGCAAACGCTGCTGCGCCTGGCGCTCGCATTGATCGGTCTCTTGATGACTGGACAACCCAAAACAACCCAAAACGGATAAAACAAAAGTAACAGCAATGTGAAGACAGATACAGTCTGGACTGGGAAGACAGTGTTCAGCTGAAAAAGGCTAGGCTTTAGTCATGTTTCAGGGTATATGCTAGGAAGTCTTTTTTGTCAAGGAGGAAGGTTGGACAGTGGGAGTTGAAAGTTTATATCACTCACAGTAGTTTATACTTGTAAGTTCTTGGCATGGCAAGTTGGCGGGATACTACCATTGGGGTAATGGTAACCAGATCCGATGCGGCGAGGGATGGTTTCACGGCATGATCCACGATGCGTTCACGGCAGAGACACTTCAGCGACCCATCAGGTTCCCGAACGGACCACCCGTCACGGATGGGACGAATGCGTCTCGCGTCTCGCGCGGCTTGGGGGAAGGTGCGAGACGCGAGGCGGACGGCATCTTCCGTAGCATTAGGGACCAACAGGAAGCCCTATTCCCTCTTGGCCGAATACATTTCCTGGAACGTCATGGTATTGCTGGAGTGGGTGTGCGGCACAGTCAACTCAAAACTATGGGTCAAGTCCAACTCACATTGTGTTTGTGAGGGGTTCTGACATGCCTCTTTCTGTCCAGAGAGTTTCAATCTAGCTCCAAGCCAACTCTTTCCTGCTGCGGCGCAGCCGCGGGGGCCTTTTCACCCGGGGCCTTTTCAGCCAAACACACAAGCGGTGTACGTGGCAGCATCCTGCCAGGAAGATCGGTTGCAACATCTCCAAAGGACATTTGGTGCAATTCCAGGGTGAGGACTGCTGGTCCGGTCGACCTGCTCCGGCCGACCACGTCGGCTTCTCCAGTCGGTCGGTGTTACAAAGCCGCGGCGAGGTGTTCGGTCGGCTCTGGAGGTCCGTTGTGACTGTAGAAAACAACGAATGTTCCACCAGGACCCCCCGTTTTATGGGAGTTCTATTGATAGCTCCGTCAGAGGTGATTTGGGGTGTCCATAAAGCACCCCGACAGTGGGTCCTGGTAGTAATCTTCCGATATATATATATATATATACCGATATCAACTTCAGACACTCTAATTTGAGGGCAGTGGCTTTTCAGAAGAGTGTTCTCCGAACTTGTTGATGTTTGGTTGAGAACTGCCTTGCGACCGCTTACGGAGCAATGCAAGCATTTGGATCCTTTTGAGGAGCAGAAAGAACATCTCTGTCGAAGGAGTTTCAAGCATCAGTGAGTCAGTGAGGTTGTTCATTCTCTACAGCTTGAGACCCTTTTCCAAAGCTTGCAATACCTCCTCGGGATGGATTCTGAGCTTTGTGTCTTCCAGACTGGATGCATGACTAGCCCTGAAAACAAGGAAGGTCGCTACAACCATCGCAACGACCTGGATGGTGACCAGTCGGAATGGCCTCCACCGGTCCACTCATTTCGGAACACATCACGAAGTGGAATGAGAACATCCAATTGAGTGTATATATGAGGCCATTCCGACTGGTCAGCTGCGGGTGCAGTTTCCAATGCACTTCGTTTCTGTCTTCGTCGGACCGGTGGATCGACTGATGGAGAGATAACACCCGTCGCCACCCACGCCGTCCAACACAAAATGACTCCCCGCTTTGAGAGAGATGGGCGAAGCCGTCCCAAGCCATCATCCATCCTATTCCACCCTATTTGACCCTAATGACCGTTGACCAGATGATAGTTCGGTCATCCAAGATCATCCCATTCTTTTGAACCCGAACCCGCCCCCCCCACGTCCGTGCGCAAGCTTCGCCGGGTGGTCAGGACGAAGTGGGTTCAGGCACTGCTAGGCGCGGTTGGGTGTGGCGAGGTTCGGCTCGGAGTGACCAGTGGATCAACAGACGTTTGTTGGGAATTGGATGGAATTGGAGACACCTTGGGGACACAACACTCAACCACTCAACTAAGAACATGTGATTTGCCAGTTCCGGCTCGTTTTTGGTTGGGGGGGGATCTGGTGTTCCGTTCACCACCAGCCACTCCATGTTCACGTCGATTCAGCAACCAGCCGGAACACATCCCTGAGAGATGGGCTCCGCGATGGGCCCCGGAGGTCTCGAACAGGCGCCTTTCATCCGAAGACTGACCCGAAGTCCGAGGTACCCTTAAGCTTGTGAGACGTTATGCCTTCAGTCCATACTTTATAGGTTCAAAAACTTCCCTGGTAGGGTTGTTTGGAAGTATCGGTCATCTGATCTAGGTGATGGTTTCGGATATTTCTCTGTTCAACCTTTACTTGGGGATGGTTGGACCCTCTGACTAATATTTTTCAAATGGGTTGAATACACCAACCAGTGATGTCATGCTGCAGAATCCATGCAGCTCTTGCCAAAGACACGGGTGATGCTGGGTGCAGTCGGGGTTCACGGCTGTTGTTGTTGTTGTTGTTGTTGTTGTT